TGAAAACGCCAGGCTGGCCTGGGGAGCTTCCTGAAGACACCTGGGAGATCTTAAGAAGGTCTGTATGTTTTGATAATTCTGACACACCAAGGTGAATCCCATCTACAACATATAAGAAATTATTTTAAGACCACAAAACTAAATATTGAATAATAAAATCTTGGAGGAAAGAAAAGCCAGCCTAAAATAAATTTAAGTAAAACAACGTATTTAAAATATTTTGTACCATCTTCCTGCAAAATGAAGAATTGGGGCTCATTTTTTGTTTTTAAATCTTTTGAATGGTTGGAAAATTAGCATAATAAACATTGCCAAAATCAACTCCTATTACTCCTTACTGGATTGCTACGTATACCTTGTCCACTGTCAAGGAAATTTGGGGGACATTTTATCTTAAATGGCACATATCCAAAAGGACCATTAAAAGAGAAATAAGTAAAAGCTAATAAAGAGGAGATTGGGTGGCAGAGGGACAGAGGGCATAGTGATTCCTGGAATTACTTCGATTGAACATTAAATTTATCTTTAGGTTTCCAGATGCCAAAAAGGAAAAGAACTCTGACTTTACATTTTTAAGGTGCCTACCAGGTGCTAAGCATTGACAATGGGCATTACTGTTTGTAACATCACTTTTTATAGCCAAATAACGCTATCTTTGCTCAAGTTATTTATTTACTTATTCATTTACTCATAGCTCCTACCTTCAAAGGATTCAAAATCAAGTTAGGGCAGATCCAGCAAGAGCTGCAGGTGAGGGCAGCATGGGGGTCTGTGGGCGCAGGGGAGCGGCCCCCCGAGCTGCACAAATCACCGGCGGTCACAAAGCCACAGGAAAGGGGCTGCTCATGTAACAGTGGGACTGAGAACACTGAGGATTGGGAAGAAAAAAATAAAAGTAGATCAGGTCTCCTAATGAAGGGTGAAGAGTTAAGTAAAAATTAGAAAATAAATGCAGATATTTAACTGGTCACAGGATAAGAAAGAAGTCTCTAAGCATAAATGCAAAGAAAGTAGTTATACAGGAAAAGCGGACTTGACTACAAACACAAAAACTTCTGTATGTCAAAGACAGAAAATTCCAAAACAGACCACAAACTAGGAAGATACGTACGTGACTAACATGACAGAAAAAGGCCGACAGCCTCAGCATACAAAGAACATCGGCATGAGGTCGAAAAGCGGGAAATATTCAATCTCATTAGTGATTAGATGAAGTAAAATTAAAACAATGAGAAAACCTTCTTGGACTATCAATGCGGTTTTACCAAATTGACAAAGTTATTTGTTGGTTTGTTTTTCAGGAACATGCCTACTAGTGATAAGGTACACCCTCTGTGGAGGCAACATTCCTAACCTTCATCTTGTCACTCTGTTTCCAGAAATACTCAGAGATGTGCCAAAGTTATCTACAAGGATGTTCATTGCACTATTTCTAGTTTAATAACATTACAAACTTCCCAAAACGTAATAGAAAACTGGAAATTCCTTAACTATCCAACATTAGTGATTTGGTAAACAAATGATGGCATACTCCAAGAATGGAATGAGACGCAGTCGTCAGAAATCAGATAGTCGGTGTTATTTACAGATAACGAAAATGGATTTATGAACTATTATATGAAGAAACATCGGAGTAAAACTACATACAATTTGATCCCAATTATGTAAACGTTAGTTTGACTCATGAAATTACCTCTGCTCAATAATTTTTTCCCTAAAAGCATCAATTTCTTTTCAACCTAAATATTTTTTTAAATGTATGTATATAGTTATGTGTGGGTATACACACACATTCACGTGTACACATATACACCCACAAACACAGAAACATACATTCACAAAAGAACAGAAATGATATATACCAAAATGTTAACAATTGTTTTCTGGGTAAAGTCACTGTATGTTTAACACTGTTCTTTATGCTTTTCTTCATTTTCCAATTTTTAATATGAATACATATTACTTCTATATTCAAAACAAAAACACAAATGTAATTCGAAATCTTGCTTTAGTTTAGCACTTAAACGGGGATGGGAGAAGGTGCTTCTCACACCCCTCCGGGACAGTGTCAATAGGCAGGCACGCACTCCCAGGGGTAATTTGGCAGAACATCAAAAGCCTTTCAAGTGTTCAAAGGTTTGACTAATCATTCTTCTGAGAATCTATCCACAGGAAACAAACAGATGCCAAGACACCAGCACAAGATAGATGTTTATCACGGAGTTAACTGTAATACGAAAAACCACATACGATGGTACGCTCTCAGACGATAGGGAACGGGTTAAATAAACCACGTTGCATATATTTGATGTATTTTATGGAGTCATCAATACATTTTGGAAGAAGTCTTAATAACAGGAAAATGTTTGTGGTAAATCGAATTTTAAAAGCAAGATAAAGAAGTCTGATCACAAATACATTTAAAATTTGGTAAGTCTGTATCTGTGTACACACATATGCACAGGATCACCTAGAAAGAAGACCGGGAGAGTGAGTGAGTGAGTGAGTGTGTGTGTGTGTGATTAACAGTGGTTTTGGACAGTGGCGGTATTTTTATTGCCTTCTGTATACTGTTCTGTTTCCCAAATACTCTGCGATGAGTGTGCATTGCAAGCGGGCGCTACCTAACGCGAGCGCGTGGACGCAGAGTGTGCAGTGATAGGCCGGGGGCCTCAACAGGGTGGGGGTGGACGACGAGAGAGTCCCTAACGGGTACAACGTGCGTTATTCCAGCGATGGATGCACTGAAAGCCCTCACTTCACCACTGCGATATATCCGTGTAGCAAAATTACACTTGTACTCTGGAAATTTACACAAATAAAATTTTTTTAAAAAGAAACAAAACAAGGCAATAAAAGTAAAGACCCCGTGCTGCAGTGGCATTGCCTAGGTGACGCATTCCTCAAGGGATGGCAGCACCTCCAAGGGGGCAAAAACTGGCAACAAATCTTAGATTTTCCAATGGTCTGTGGCTCTCCGAAACCTCAGTACATAAACGGATATTCAGCATCTGGGATATCAACAAGTTACTGCAGCGATTAAGACAAAGTGCCTTAGAAGGCTGCCTGGGGTCAGGGGACGGGGACAGCGAGGAGCTCGGAGGAAGCCAGGCCGCAAGCTCCATCCACCGCTGGCGCGCACACTAGTGCTATCTTCCTCCAGATGCCGACACACTCGGCAGAAGCATCGTTTCTTCTAGAGCATCTGGAGGATTTAATAGCGACTGAACCTATACCTCGGCTGACAGTGCCTCCGTGACACCGAACGCCAACGCTCAAACGCGTGGCCTCCTTCCTGCCAACGCATTCTGGGGGGAGGTCCAATGGCTTATTTCTCCACCTCAACCGCCACTTTTTCTAGAAGAAAAAAAGTGTTTCTAGCCATGGCACGCGTTCTAAGTCAGTCTAGGCCCTCACGGTCACCGAGGGGTGACCCCGTGACCACAGCAGTCAGCGCGGCGCTCACAGCACCCGTCTCCACGCCGCTGTGATGGCCCAGGCGCGCCTCGGTCCAGCTGCTCTGACGGGCACCCCTGTGGCCAAAACACAAGTCGTTCTCTCCACGGCGTCAGGTCCTGGCTACCGATTCACTCCCACATCATACTTGCAAATACTTTTGAGAAAGAAAAGAAACTTTTTATCAAGGAGTGCAAGCCCCTTTCAACCGTCAGGCCCAGAGAGGCAGGAAATGAGACCGTGGTCACTTCCCGGCCCCACCGCAATGCCACCCCGAACTAAGTCATTGTTTCGAAGCTACCTGCTGCGTGGACTCTAGAGCGAGTGTTGCCACCAACAGCTACAGATTAATCTAACAGTGCCAGACACGGGACACCATGACTCACACCCTACAGTTCAACAACACACAGTCAATCACTAATCAATGTTACTTCTGTAAACCAGTGACAATTCCTGAAAAGCAACTTTTGTAATTGCCCCTCTCCTGATTCATCCTTTTTTCTTTAAAAACTTGAGTCTGTTTTTTGTTCTTCCCAAGATAACTTAGAAGTGTTTCCCGGGCTGCGGTCCTCAACCTTGGTCCAAATAAACTCTCCATCTGTACTGATCTTGCCTCAGTTTCTCTCTCTAGGCTGACATATCATTACAAGACATTCGCGGTGTGCAGATCGAATGCACACTTCCACTCGTAATCACACGCCCTCAGCTCCAGTGCTATTCACCCACTGTGGTCTTCAGTGATTCATTTTTTTTGTTTTTTTCCAAGAGATGGGGTTTCGTACTATCACTCAGGCTGGAGCACAGTGGTGTGATCATAGCTCACTGCAACCTCAGACTCCTGGGCTCAGGCCATCCTCCTGCCTCAGCCTCCCAAGCAGCTCAGACTATGGGTGCACACCACCACACCTGGCTAATTTTAAAATTTTAGTAGAGATGGGGTCTCACTATGTTGCTCAGGCTGGTCTTGAATTCCTGGCCTCAAGTGATCCTCCCGCCTGGGCCTCCCAAAGTGCTGGGATCACAGGTGTGAGCCACTGTGCCCGGCCCAGTTATTAAGTTATTTTCATCAAGTGTCATGAACAAGGTATTATGCTAGGTGCTGTTAAGGGCTAACAAGAATTTAGAAGTACAGTTTCTGCTTGTGGAGAGAAATAGAAGTACACAAATAATTTTATAACACAAGGCACTTTGCAACAGCCATGGAAGGGAAGTACAAAGCAGACGTGTTGGTGTTTCAGAGGAGGGAGACACCGCTCCTAGAAGCAGGCAGTGAGGGAAACTTCACAGAGCACATGCCCTAGAGAACCGGGCCTTGCTGGCAGGGAGAGGGAGAGGAGAGCTGCAGGTGGGGGGGCCAGGTGGGGGGAGCCACGTGGGCCCAGGCTCAGGGACCGGGAAATCTAAACAAATGGAAGAGGAAGACCCGCCAGAGGGGCCTACAGACTGAGCCCGTAAAGGTTTTTATATTCAAAAGCTTTGACATCAAATATTTTAAAACTAGGAATACATCATTTTACTTTAGTAAAAATTTTAAGAGCATTTACCTTCAGTTGGAAATTTCTTAGCTCGTTCCTCAAAGAACCATTCTCCAGTTTTTATCTTCACATTTCTGAAAAACAAGCAGAAAAGAGACTTCAGATCGAGTAGACAGAAAGAGCGCTATTACTAAGCAAGAGCGCTATTACTAAGACAAAGTATTAGTTTCGCAAAGGCCCTCAGAGGTCAATTTCTGCCTCAAACCCCCAGCTGTACAGATCCCCAGAGAGGTTAAGTGATTTGATGGCAGCAAAGCTGCGCGCTTCCCACTTTGTGTTTGACCCTATGTGTCATGTGCGCATGCCGTGTAGACGTGTTAATGTATGCTCGGACCAGTACCTATCAAGTACTTATATTTTCTGAGGACACAGAGAGAAACAAAATTGCCATCAGGTGATCAATTTATCATGTTAACGGTGGAAGCAATGGCACAAGTGACACGCGGCAGAAAAGCTCCACACTGCACCTTTGTGGGAGCGGGGGCTCCGCCGTAGGTTAAGGTTAGCTTGTGCTTACCACACTCCCCAGCAGCAGACGGAGTAGGTTTACCTGCGAAGGTTCTGGGAGGGCCTGCAGTCTGGAATATGGGATCACGTGCATCAGTGGAGATTTGGGGACCTAGATCTGAGGGGATCACTTGCAAAACAGGGGAAATTACCTCTTGTTGGCCCCTGGTCTGACGGCAGTCGCTAAGGCAGGACTGTAGGTCCTGTGATCTTAGTCACATGCATAACGGCATGAAGAGCACTTAATGTGCTCACTGCTCGAGACTGAAGTCCAAAAATGTGTTTTAATCTTGGTTTTCTGGAAAAACCACACTCACCTTCAAAGAAAGGTAGAACTGCTACTATCCTTTTAGGATGTAAAAAGATAAACATGCAGATGTTATAAGTTGTTCACACCCTTAAAATAATACGCCATAAAACTTGTCAATTTATTGCTTACACAAGTTTAAGAAGAAATTAAAGCTTCAACTTATGGCAAGTTCTCCTCTATAAATTACAGGATTTATTGAAATAAGTTTTCCATTGGGTCCTTTTAGGCTATACATGAACTCAAGTGGACTCTAAAGTTAATGCTTGCATATGTGTTAAAATCGCAACTATATGCCAACCTATGCGTTCTTCAAAAATATCTTACCTTTCTCCATGGAGTGCTAGTAATTGTCCGAAGACATCAACCCATTTTCTCCCCTTTGTCTGGCTGGAAACTATTATTTCCTGATTAGTATGTAAATGACTACTACCGATGCTTACTGACAAGAACAAGGAAAATGTACATAGAGCATTTCAGAATTTCATAACAGAATTTTGATAACCGGTCCCTACCATTCAGAGCCAAAAATATACAAAATGTTCAACTGTGATGCGTCTCTAGAAAAAGTTTGCATCCATAAAATCAGAAACTCAAATATCTAATCTGCCAAATTGACACAAAACGCCTAAGGCGATCTTAGCCTCTCGGCAGGAGTTTTCTTCTCCAGCACTGAAGGCCAGCAGGGCTCAGACAACAGGGGAAGGTTTAGAGAGTAACGGGGTGGCAAAGCCATACTCTGGAGGTGCTGCCCCGGCCCAGCACTCTGTTTCTCAAATGCATCCTCGGTCCTTAGAAACAGGACAAGGTCTGGTCGCTGGAGGAGGCGAAATCAAACCCAAAGGGCAGAAACGAGAGGCCTCTGCCGCCTGATGAATGCACTTCACTTCCTGAATTATTTTTCTTCTGGCGGTGACACATTTCAGCTAATCTGCTCTCACAGTCTCCAGCCCATTACCCTTGCGACCCAAAGTACCCGTATCTGAGACCCTTCTGCAGTCAATGAGCTCCCCAGACGCAGGCCAGCGTTGGTAAGCAAACACACACACAGTCATGGAAGAGGACACACAGGGAGGAGAAGGCACCGAAAGGGAAAGTTCCCCTCTAGCCCCGGTTTCAGAACCTATGCAAGGAGCAGACGCATTAAAATTCCGGTCACCCAGCGCTGATCATCTAATATAACCATCTAATCATCTCATTTAACCCCAACGGATTACCCATGAGGCTTAAGCAGGAGCTAATTTGGCACAGAGATGGGGGCACAGACTTGAGGACCTCTGGGGCTTATGTGTGATTAAAGAGTGGGGGGATAAAAAAACCACCGTCCTACACCGCAGGGCAACCAGCGCTTTTCGCATTTGAGGCTGTTTCCTTTGAATACGAGGTTTGAGCTGGATATCCGTCAGCCCTGCTTGCAGAACCAGCTGTTTCATAGCAGTTATTCCCCAATATCTCTTGTAAGGACCCCTGTCCAAGTTAAAAAAGGAAGACCTCCTATTGCTCTTACTGTCTACAGGAGAGGTGAGTAGATGCTGCAGTCTCTGTCCTCGCTGGGCCAGCACAGGGTAGCGTGATTCAGAGTGACCACAGACAGTATTGACATTTCTTCCCAGATGGCTGAATCAGAATGAGGTTATGAAAACCTCTCCGAACATTTTATGACTCAGCAATAGGTCCATGCTTTTAAACTTCTCAGACAGAATCATGACCTGCTTCTTTGAAATCTTTCAATCAACCCATAAATACATCTTAAGAGGTGGAGGCCTTGGTGGACCGAGCTGAAGATACAGAGTCAGGAGACCCGACCGCACCTCACCTTTCCACGAACTAGGCAGCCCCCGTGACCAGCCCCCACTGAACGAATTTCAGTGACCCCTATGCAATCCTATCCCTTAACTAACTACTTGAACTTTAGGGTTGTTTTCCCAGAAATAGTGGATTTTCCGCAAGACTAAAGAGCTGAGATGCTGAAGGCGTTCGGCAGACTCCCTGATGCCCAGATTCGTCACCCCCACAACCTGCCCCAATGCCAGTAGCCCCTTGTGAGACTCACCACGACCACACGTCCGCCCCAAGGCACAGCGCCCTCCTTTAACAGCCCGTGATCCGCGTTAGTCGGGGAGATGGATTTGAGGCATATTTGCCCAACAGGACGTATGGAAACTTCCTTGGCAGTCCTCATCGTCTCAGTGATTGGATCTTTGTGTGATGAGTAACAGGACCTAGGTCGAAACCCCCTTGAGGTTTCGACAGCAAGTATGGGGGCTCTGGGATGGTGTCTCTGGTGGTTCAGTGGCCGCAGAGCAGGGAGAGGCCAAAAGCTTCTCTCGGCAGCTGCCTGGCCGTGTCTGCCACCCGGCAGTTCTGGACTCTCCCGCCAGCTCCCGTCGTTCCCTGCCTCTGTCGCGCTGGCGACAGCTTCCTAATTGCCTCCAAAGAAAGAACTTCTGGGTTTTGAAATTCGTGCCCAGGAGGGCGAGTGCTATTTGAAAGCACCACACAGTAGGGGATGCCCCTCTCCATTTGGGGGATTCTGAGGGAATTCTCACTTGTTTTGGGTGGATAAACCCCCAACCATCTGTGAGAGTGGGAACTAACCTTTTTTGATTTTGCACTCCCAGGGCTCATTCGGTGAAACTGCAGTTCGTTTGCTTGAAACCTCTTGAATTTGTCTTTATATTGAGTGTTTATCTGTATCGGTGCCCGGCATGTAAATGTGGAGTGTTAAGCTCTCTGTATTTTCTTTTCGCCTCCTTAAATTTGCTGTTGATGGTATTATAAGCGCAGTACAAGGTCGGGGGGTTAAAAGTCTGAAGGTAGTCTCTCTCGTGGCAGGTTCTGCGGTCTAAAAGGTAAAAAGACACCTCTGTGCTGACGTCTAGGAGCCTGAAAGACATCCCCATCCACGGGGGCAACCCGGCCAAGCTGGGGGACGCCCTCTGTAGGACGGGGGAAGAGGAATGGGAACGTAACGTACACGGATTCACGCGGAACTTCGGAGGATCTCATGGCTAGAGTTCTGAGATAAAAGCCACTGAAATTTTGTGTATATGTTTAGATATGTTTTGTGTGTGTACCTGTATTATATATCTACATGGTACCAAAATCGGCTTATAAATAAAAAAAGGAGCTCTCATAAATTAAATAAGCCCAAATGCTTTCTAAGTTCATGTAAATTTAGTCATCTTTGGCAAACAAGCTGGTTTTTAAAAATTACTGATAAAATAGCAATAAAAATGTCTTCAAAATTGTCAGCATACATTTTGACTTGGGTTTACTCGTCATTTTTATATCTGAAGGTGTCCAGGTTTGACACAAAGGTTACAAAAACCAAAAACCCAGCCAAAACAAAATGATCTGTTTGTATGACTTTTAATAAATAAGACTATTTAATATTGTTGGTTTAATAAAAACAGCTAAATCTCCTGAGTTATTGACCAAAATACCTATGTGCTCAACTTTAAGGTTCTTAGGTAAAAATGTAAACATGCCTAAACAAACATAAGTGTCAGTAAATTAGAATAAATTAAACTCTAACTAAATGACAGCACAAAAACCAAAAACTGAAGGTCAAAGGTTTATAAAGATATTTTGGTTTTAGTCTCTTAATCCTAGTTGCAGACACAGTTTCTTTCATTGACTTACTGTCTGTGGAAAGTACACACAAAATCTGTCCAACTCACTCTGAGTACTAGTTGCAAGCTCGCCTGCTACATGTACATTGTGTCGCCACAGCAAAGGCCTTTGCCTAGAAAAACTTTTAAAAGAATCCTTGAGCTGTTAATTTTTGTAGAGTAATTTATTTCAAAATGAACAAAACAGTTATTCTTAGAATCCAAAGGGAATCTCAAAACAATCTTATTCTTTGGAAGTATTACATGTAATTGCATTTGTACTTAAGTAGAAAAATGTTTTGAGGTCAGTTAGATTGTTTTTAAAATAGACTGATCTTGATCCTTATGTAAGAAAAATGTTATGACTTTGTCCCGTTATTTGAGGTGCTAAGGATTGACGTTAAAGGTTTATTCGGTCTACAGTCAGGTGATGTCATGTCAATAAATTTTATTTTGAGATACTGGTATTTTAGAAGGATCAAGTTAGTTAACATCTTTAAGCAGAATGTGTTCTAAAACTTCTGTATTTATAGAACTGAAAGATGTTACATTGTGCAGTATAGCAAGTACTACTAGAATAGTTATGTTTGTTATTTTGGTAGGTTTTTTTAAGTTTAAAATAATAGTTAAAACTATATTTTTGTTT